GAAAAAATGTCAAGAAATTGAGGATTTTTTTTATACATTCTTTGATTTTTGCAAAACCCCTATCCAAAATCCCAGATAGCCTGGAAGAATAGGTGAAACACAGGAATTTTTCTAAAAAATGCGTCGGTTGGATAAACCGGCAACAAAAAAGTTGCCGTCGGTCGATAAGACAAAATTGTCCTGTAGATGGCAAGAAGCTTATCTCTTCACCTTATCACCTCGAGGACATATGGAAATCAATGGATAACAGTCATAATCTCAAATAATAATGAAAAATATTAGCATGAGTCGGTAAAGCCGGAAACTTTTTCAAAACAATTCAAATCGCGAAATCAAACAATTTTAACAAATGATATTCACATTAAATGAGAAAGTCCACAATAAATAAAAAATATGATCAACATTTTTCCGTCAAATCGAGGAATTCATCGAGAATGAAATTCTATCAAGGCACCCCAAAAGCTCGTCATCCCCCCAAGTGAAAAAGTCCTCTGATAGGACAAAATTTTCTTGTAGACAGCAAGACAATTATCTTCTCGCCTTATCACCTTACGAAATTAGTTAATGTCTTCTCACATAGCTACCATCCCATCAGTAATAAAAAATCAAATTTTAAGGGGCGATTACTATGAGTTTTAAAAATCGCAGGCTGTTGGAATGAGATTTTTCATACATTAAAGATCGATCACACATATCTAAAAACGAATAATTACTGCAAACAAACTAATTGTCTATTGTTCGTTTACCCCGCAAGCGCTTAAAATGTTAAAACTAGTCCAGGGCCTCCAATTTTTGAGCTACAGAGGTTTTTGTTATCAAAATTTTAGAAAAAATATGTGCAATAACAATTACGATTTAGTTTTTTTGAAATTCAACTCCTGCACAGCTAATTTCATTATTATTTTAATAAAAAATTGTACCATTGATGTAAAATAGCCTGAAAAATATTTCTGAAAGAATCGAGAATATATTTTAAATATTTTAAGGATAATTTTACCGCCTATTTTACATAAGTGGCGCAAATTTTTATATTAAACAAAACGAAATTAGCTGTGTAGGAGTCGAATTTCAAAAAACTAATTCATAATTGTTATTGTACACATTTTTTCAAAAATGTTGAGAAAAAAACCTCTGTAGCCAAAAATCTGGAGCTCCGGGACTATTTCGACCATTTCGAACAGTTAAGTGTGCAGAGCAAACGAACAATAAATAATTAATTTTTTTGCACTAATTATTCGTTTTGAAACATATATAATCGATCTTCAACGCATGAGAAATCTCACTCCAATATCCCACGACTTTTAAAACACACCGTAGCCTCCCTTCAGAAAAACCTTCAGAAAAAAAACATTAACTCGAAGCTGTTATCATCAAAACATTCTAAGGTTCAAACACATCACAGCGTATTCCCCCTCCTAATATTCTAATTGTAAATGGAGGAGATCATCACGTCTTGGGAGCGATCGTCAGATAAAAGAAGAGAGGATCGTAACTAGGTTCAAGCCTCCTCCTTAAGCAGAAGAAGACTTTCTTCTTCTTGTTTGTAAATAAATCGCCCTTTTGAATACTTGTGAATCCTTCATTTATTTCTTAAAAGCAACAATATCATCAAATAATTGAAAAATACGCAAAGAAAAATTGAATACTATCCTGAGGCACCACTATATACCCCACCTCGCGCATCGTCACCAGTGGCAACGGCTGGTCCAGTGGCTGGAGTCGCGCGCAACCGCCATTTTCCCATCGACTCCTCGCCCCCTCCCCCGCTGGTCGCACAATCCACGAAAAAACATCCCTCCTGTCGGGGTTGATACGGCGCACAGGCACCAGTACCAACCCCACCTCGTGATACAAGAGGATCTCCCCCTACGTCCTACTTTAATCCGTCTGTGATAACGCACGCCAGTAAGAGTAGGCGTCGCGGCGCGCGGTGTGGACGCCGCCCGTCTTCTCTCACGTCCTCTCTCATTTCGGTGATATCAAATCATCATAATATCGTTCATAACTGCTGTCAACCATCCAAAAAAAAATCTGAATAAAAAACCGGTGATTGAGGGAGAAGATGGAAATAAATTGCCAATAAGTATAATTTCTCATCACCGAATTTCCTATCCGTCCATGTTTTGTTCCTCTCGCGATGAAAGAATATCCGTCGAGGCCACCTGTCGTCCTGAGGCACGTACCCCCTGGCAAGTGAACTACTCCGTAAACACGACATACAACTAGACCACGGGAGTGCAATCTCAGTGGGCTTCGGGGTGAATGTGAAAAAAGCCAAAGGGTCAAATACGAAAATAATGAAGTGGAACTGATGAAGCAAAGTGTCTTGAGGGTCTTCTGTCAATAACAAATGGACCCTAATACTACCAACGTGAAAGGTCGATTAACTTACGGGTACTTAACTCAATTTGTCTGTAAGCTTCAAGACTTATATTTTCGAAAAGAATAAGAATTTGATTCCGCGAGTTAGCTGGAAAGATCGATAAGCCTTTTAAGGTGTTGGTAGAAGTACTGACAAACGGGGTGCGGCCACGACTTGAGAATTGGCAGGATGATACCGATGACAAGAACAGTGGGTAGGCCACGCGGCTACAGGGGAGCCGGTTCACCAGGTGCTGAAATAGCCATGGATCCACGAAATCTAGATCCAGCAGCTGTTAATTCAACACCAGTGATGAATATGCACATGATGCATCCTCAGGTTAGGATATTACGTACTATGAATCAATTATTACCGGTTATTTTGTGATTGCATCACAGTCGGATGCTTTTGAATGGATTTTCCAAGGTGGTAGGATATGAATTCTGGGGTATAAATGGATTATCCGATGTGGAAACACCGGTGGAATCGTAGAACCGTCCAATGCTTGTATTTATGCTTCCTTTTATTACTGTAGCCTTGACCGACTTCATGGTTCATCGACCCAACGTCAAACTCAGTGAATATTTCAGGAAGATATAGAGGCACTCGATAGTGAGATTATCATGAATAAACGTCTCATCTCGGAATGTGAGGAAAGATGAGAAGGATTTGAATGCTACCCGAGTCGAATAATTGGACCTGACAAATTCTACTTAGGTCTCTCCGTTCAGAACTGGATAGGTCTTGGGAAGCCTCTTCCCAAGTGCTTCCGAGACCTTTCTACCTCTGGTTATGTCCCACTTCAGCACTTGTTAGGTGTAAGCAGGACTTGCATTCAGACTTTCCAAATCCTTGCCGGTCCCCGTAATTCTATGGGCCTATATTAAATCTGCGTTCATATCCCTATTTACTCATGCGTTATTGAAATAAAAAATTCAATTATTGTTTTTTTTTTAATCTCGAAAATCGACATTTCACGGGAGGGCGTCACAAAAGGCGTTATCCCCCCTATTTCATTATTTCCAAAAAATTTTATCACCAATCGGTAGCAAATTGTTTGAAGATTTTTGCGAGTTAAGAAAAAATCGTCAATGCACTCCTATTATTGGGTAAATTAACAATTCCAATTTCAACTGAAAACCAGAGTTGATGACCAGAGTTTGTCGCAGAGATGCCAGACAAGATATGAATGTTTTTTTGGGCTCAAATGAAAGAGCGGGTCGAGAAATGACGTGCTAGAGCCTCTAAACATGACAAATGTCTCTAAAGATGATATCTGTTTTCAATTGAAAAGCAGAGTTGTGACATCATTGTCTAGGAGGACAATGGGGTCTAGGAGTATGTATAGAACATTGGGGTCTAGGAGTCTCCCTGGTTCGAAAACCATCTTTAGAGGTCCTAGCACGCCATTTCTCGACCCGCTCTTTCGTTTGAGCCCAAAAAAACATTCATATCTTGTCTGACATCTTTGCTACAAACTCGGGTCTTCAACTCGGGTTTTCAATTGAAAGCCCGAATTTCATTTATCATGGTTATCTTCTCTAAGACTGTCGAATTCTCATTTTCCGCTTCCCATTTTCTCTTGTCATGGAAAATGACTAGGATTATCTCCCCATATCACAACACCGTACAAGAATGGAAAGACGTTATTTTCACATACTCAGCCATGCGTTGTTTGAACCTTATACATGCCTCATTAAGAGGGCTCTCCCTCAGCGTTTGACCTTTGTGGCTTAATCGTTTCGCAGATGGTCGATTCCGTCTGACATAGGCTTATTGTGACCAGCTCTGACGTTTCTTTCCACACGTCAGAGGTGAAAAATGACTCCTATCAAGAGATTTGTCCCTTACTGTGTGCCCTATACATTCATGGGGGTAAGCCACCATTTTTCATCATGACACCATGACCAAAAGGTTTCTTATTAGAGGATTCCTCTCTTACTCGAGTCTCACGGATCGATTTCCTTGATTTTTACTCATCCACTTCAAATAAGATAAAAATAAAACAACTGTCTTTGCAGCCTTTAAATCAACTTATTTGTCCTCGTCGTTGTAAAGTAGTACAGTCGAGGCTTCATATAAGATACCTCTCTATAAGATACTCGAGCTCCGAGCGCTCGAGGCCTATCCCCACGCTCGGCACTTTAATCGCCTCCCGAATGTTTAGTTCCGTGGGTTTCTTATAAGATACCTATGGTCGCGATCATTTTTCAACGGGAAAAGAGCACTGATAGAATGATTCATTTATTCCAAACGAGATTCGTTAACAGTAAACGAATGATTCACTTGAAAAGTGAAAGTCGAGTCAACCAAGACTCATCAAATATGCATTCGTTAACTATTAACGAACGAACATTTGGTGAGACCAAATAGACCCTAGCCTTCAACCAAATCCATTTGTCAATAATAACTAATCCTGTCTATCGGGGAGGGACGAACGAAGTGATCATAAGAGTCAAATGACCTTAAAGGTCAAAAGTACAAACGTGAGGGTCAAGTGAGGTAATCCGAAGGGTTAAACGACGTCATTAAATGTTTTTCCAGACCGTGACGATCTCTTCAAAATAATTCTCGACTAGTCTCGACAGCATCACTACGCAATGGTGTACAATTATATTCAAAAGTATTTCCGAATTCCAATACCTTACAATTTCCATTCCGCAAACCATCAGTAAAATGACCCTCAATCGTTTTGCAGATGATCAATTCGTTCCAGATAGACTCATTTTATAGCCAATAACCAATAAGCAGAAGACCTCTTGAAATCCAAAATCGAACTGATCAAACATTCCCACACATCCCACTACCCAATCAATACCAATCACGTGTATCAACATGGAAACCAAATGTTCTCCCCTAAAAATTAAATTCTTCTAATTGACAGGTGGATGTTTCGACCCAGGTTGATCTCCACAGCACCAGTATACACGATTGGAATCGTCGGGCAACCCCTCTCTATTCCAGAGAGGACATAAAAGAGCAGTATTGCATAACAAGTAGACAATTGGATGCTGTTGAAAAATCTAGTAGCGGTATATTTGGTTGTCTATCGACAAAAGGACCATCACCATGTACAGCGACACGGGTATCGATACTATCAGCATGTGTCAGAAGTGCATCGAGCGATGAGAACATATGCGATGCACCATATCCAAGAAAGCCATTTCAAATACTATATCAACAGCCTTATCCAAGTTATCATCGTGGTATAACGAGATACGATCTTGATGATGAGGAGTGGGTTGAGAGTTCCTACTTTAGACGTCGTCCTACATCCTTCTGCTCCATTCAGGATCCAAAAAGGTGAAATTTTGCTAACCCTCTTTGTAATCTTGTTTTTTACCCATTCAGACCTGGCCATACTTGGGGAGAATGAGGTTAAGGGGATTGTTGAATTTTAGAGTGAATAATTGTCGCTTCCCTCCCACTATTGTATTTTTGATGAGGCTGAAGGGCTCCGAGCCCGCTCAAAACCACATAAACATTCATCCTTGTCCGTTAAAAATGATGATATTTAATTAAACGTGCCAAGTCACTGGGCTACATGCGATTCATTCCATTCAATTCCCATAAATTATTAAGACGATATCCGTCCGTCGTATTACGATCGAATACCCCATCCCTTCTCAACATACGGGTATTCATTTGTCTTCACCCTCGCATCTCCTCGAGACCATCTTCACCTAAACACACAGACACAAGGGCCCCCAACTCATCCTCGGGGCTGTGTGTGCGGCAACTTTTGTGTTTTTAACGGCAAGCTGAGATCATACTAGTTATTTCATGCATCGAATATGGAAAGAAAGGGGTTGGGGGTTGGACAAAGCGACGTTGTCCAAGCGTGATATTTATGATCAAGTTGGCAAATAGAACGGCCGGAAAAATATGATGAAAGTTTGTTCAACGAAAAAGTAACGGACATTGTAATATCGACTGAAAGGACTCCTAAAGAATGAAGAGAAATGTTTTCATTTTCGTAGGGTTTATAGGGATTCCCGGTCATGTGACCCTACCGATTGAAATATTTCAGTATCGGAAATGTTGAAGGCCATAAACTGCAATGCCTGATCCTTTGACTTGACCCTATAGATACACATGGCTCCCCGAGGACGAGGAAGCAATGAGACTTGAGGGACCTAGATCGCTGCTGCAGTCTAGCGTGCCATCACGACGTGGCAGTATCCATAAGCCGAAACATGTCAGTTTCGCTCGTTCTCATACACTAACATCCTTCGATGTGGCTCCAATAAGTAAGAGCCCACCAAGAGCTCAGAATCCTGAACGACTGATAGACTCTCAACCGACACTCCAAGCGACTCTCCCCCCAGTGCCTACGCCGTACACCCTGCCAGAACCGAAGATTCTGGTTTTAGGTAGGTCACCGGTTAATATAAGACACGTCAATTTCAATACACAGATTTGTAGTTGCGGGTGTGTATGGGTATTTGAAGTTTTGTGTCACCTCAAAAATCCGTACATGTGATGATTTCAATGAATTCCAATGAAGACTGATATTCTTGAATATTTACGTGATCAAGCCAGCAATATTCGAATTTGCGGCTTGATTAGGCAGAAAGACGATTGAGAGGTCATATTTTTCCTTGCCATATATACCCTATTCGAGTTTTTACATATTTGCGGTTTCATGGGCCGACTTCCTTTCTAACCGTGTCGCATTGTACCTCAGGAGCTGTACCCCACGTACAGACTCTCCTGGTGACCAAGGGAAACCATGGAAAACCTTGGTTGACACGGGCGTTCAGCGACCCTGATAGAATGATTCATTTATTCCAAACGAGATTCGTTAACTGTTAACGAATGGTAGAGTTGAATATGACCAAATGAATATTCGTTAATAGTTAACGAATGGTTCACTTGAATGGCGAAAGTCAAGTCAAACAAGGCTCCTCAAATGTACATTCGTTAACTATTAGCGAATGATCATTTGGTGGGACCGAATAGATCCTAACGTCCAACCAAAATCCATTCGTTAACAATAACTAATCCGTTCTATCAGTGCATCGGAGAATGTTTTCCTAACACTTCACCGATGGCGATCGGTATCTAGAGTTTCGTTCGACGGTTTCCGAAAGATTAAAAATCGCCGAGGTCGCCAATAGAGTAATCGTCTGTACCGGCATGGGTTTTCTGTGGTTTCCTATGCTACTCCTATGTTCTAGAGGAGTGTGAATGCGATATAGAGTCCACAGCCGCATGCATAGGGTTGGATAGAGTGCCGAGTGGGATCCGAAAAGGGACTCGAAGGCCGTACAAAAAAATATATATCATTTTGTTGTGATTATTTTAACTGTAATTTGATGTCAATTTATTGAATTTGCCGTTTTATTGATTTATACGTTCTCATTTATTGATGAAATTCACTGTATTGTTGTTCATATCTTTTCGATTTTTCATTAAATGAATTCTCATGCCAAAAATAAATATCTATTAATTTCGAAGACTTGCGTGTGATTGCATGTGTTAACTTTGTTTGTGTTAACATTTACGTGTGTCATTTTAACATGTAATCTTTAGGTAGACGAGGGGTGATGAAAGCACAAGCAACTCAAACCGATCTCCCAGACTCTCGTAGACCACCACCTCTGACCCTGAGCCCTCGAACGATACAACGAGTGAAAATGGTGTCGCAGGGTGCACAGACGAACGGCATCATCAATGGCCGGAAGTTGACGAAAAGCTACTCCGAAGCGGGACAATTTGGTGGGCCCTTGGGCGAGGAAAAAACAGAGCACGAGCCACTTCAGCGGACTCAGAGTGAAGAGCCTCCAAGGTCTCCATTCTTAGTGGATACACCCCCTGCATCACCAAGACCCGAGCGACTTAACGAGCATCTATTGAACGGAGACATCGAAAGAATCAGAGATAAGTACCGAGAGGAGGATGAGGAGATACTGATTGACTTCAAACCGGCCCCAGTATCACCCGACGCTCGTGCCATGCTACAACAAATGCCGGTGATCTACATGCGACCTGTAAGACTCATTAAAACACTATCCGACGGTGAGATTAGAGTTGAGAGGAGAGAACTTATTGACGAGGCTGGAGCACCGAGTTATCCTCACACATGTAGAAGGAATTATCACGATCCATGGAGTAGGTCAACGAGATCACCCGTCCAATTCTCATCAACACCTGACGATCTATCGTTGCTGAGAACTGCATCGCCGCACGATGATCATCGTGAGGAGGTATTCAATTACCAAACTTTTGTCCAGAATTATTCAGTTATAACTCACCATTTCCGCAGGAGTTCCACGAGAATATTATCCGGAGAGGTTTATTCCGCAAGCGTAGTATCTCCCTGGAGGATGGTGTCCAGGATTTGCATTCCAGTGATTTCAGTCTTTCACGATCGTTGCCCATATCACCGACATCCCCAACTGCCACTCCAGGTATTTCTACCAAATTATCTGTCCTCAAACTAGTGATGCCGCGAGAGACTTTACGAGACAATACTTTGGACAGGTGGTCTCGGTCTCAATGAAGATGGAAATCTTTGGTCTCGTCTCAGTCTCGAAATACGCAGTATCAACTCCTCTCGTAATGACTCTGAGTCAATTTATTTCATCTCGGTCTCAACGTTTTCGGGTTTTTTCAACGTAAAGTCTCGGTTTTTGTCTCGATTTGTCTCGTCTCGGTCTTCTACATATAAGAAACGTGAAAAACTTGAAACCTAGACGATATAAATTGACTCGGAGTCATCACGAGAGGAGTCGAGACTGCGCACTTCGAGACTGAAACGAGACCAAAAATTTCCCTCTTTACTGAGACCGAGACAATCCCTCCAAAGTATTGTCTCGTGATGTCTCGTGAAGTGTCTCGCGGCATCACTGCCTCAAACGGCAATAACTTTTTGAATTGCAGCTCGTAGAGTGACGGAGAGTCCGAGGTATGGAATTCAGCGCCCTAATTTCTTGAGAACGTGTCCAATAGTGGGAACTGTGTCGTCACCATTCGCTTCTAGCGATTCGCTGACGAATGACGTTACAAAGGACCACAGTGATGGAATTTGGAACGAATCCCAAGCGACTGTTCTGCAGGCTGACTGTTTAGCATTATTGACACCGTCTTCGAGGAGGAGACATTTGCTCTTGTTGCAGCATCAGCAGAGATCGTCCATGGATACGGAAGCGCTTGATGTTGAGGACGAGTTGGAGTTGTCTCCACCGAGCCCTAGGATACGGCTGCAAGCGGCGACACCGATCATCCTCACACCCAGGTAAGAGAACCTTCAACTTTTCCATCTGAAGTCGTTCAATGACTTTGATGATGGGCTCTCTAGTGATCCTCCGCTACTGATGACCAACGGGAGACCCAGAAGTGGCCTCTTACGTCGCAGCCCCGGTCCTCCGTACTCTCAACCTCAGTCGCAATCATCAAGCGAAATCGCTCTCAGTCTAGGGCGAACCGATTCCGGGAGAACACTCGCCGGTGATTTGTCCGAGGCCTCAACAACCGAAGACTACGTCACTGCCAACACCTCCACTGGCACTGGAAATACAACTGGTACATCAGCAACCACAAGTTCATGGTCGAGACCAGGTCTTCATCACTCATCCAGTGCAGCGCCCTCAGGACCCACCTCCACCACTGCCACAGCTGCCGACGGTAGCTCATTCGAAAGCGCCAGTTCAATTTACAGTTTGGCAAGGAGTGAGGTAAGTTCAAACTCCATTAATAACAGTATGTTGATATAACTCATGGTGGGGGGAGTAGATAGAGTTCAAGAAAATTTCTATCCAATATTTCTCGTCGATGTTCTTTCTCTCTCATCTGATCTATGAGCCTCCGGTCATTCATTGGAAATCAATGCCCTCGAGGATTTCGCAACAATCGATTTACCGTAGTTTTCCCCCCAATTCCACCGTCCCACTCCACACTCTAACCAATACTCGACATTAAAAACTGTAGCCTCGATTTACGATTATGAGATATCGATTACCGCAGGCGGTCGTAGAGGAGCCAACGAGTCCCAAGGCAATTGTCGAAGAGATGGAAGTGCCATTCGATCTGAGTGATGTAGTGCCACCTTCGCCCGCAAGATCGACGAGCAGCAGTAGTTCCGGAAGTTACGACCTTGATGATGCAATGCCAGAGCCACCGAATGAGGCTTATCAAACGGCGCCATTGAGTGGTCACACGTCGGACGTTGAACTTGAGCAGGACGATTATCGTAAACGCCTGTTGGATCATCGTCGTTCATCGTCGGGGGGTTATATAGAATCACCACCAGATCCCCCCGGGTGGACCGATGAGGAGCGCCGAAAACGACGGAAGACCTTCACACTTGACTTCCAAGACATCATGGACCTCGATCACAATCACCCAGACAAGTCTGAGGGCTTTATAGACAGTGCTGATGTCAGTCCTACGCCGTCTCATCGTCACAGGCCGAGGGGGAAGAACAGCACAAACAGGGGACAGTACAGGAACAACAGAAGACGCGACTCGGCGCAGTCAACCTTGTCCACCCTCTCCAGAAGTCCTCAGAAGGAAGATTGGCCACGAGATCCTATTGGTGAGCCAGCGCAGATCCCTACGTCTGACGATTCAAGCTGTAGTCATCATTACCATATGCATCATCATCACCACGGCCACCACCTTCATCGAGACAATCCGGAGGGCAGACATCGGAGGACGAGGGAGAGCCCTCGGAGGAAGACTGGGGGTTACAATACTTCAAGACGAAGGAGTAACGAGGTGAGTGTCCAGCAGAAATTACCAATAGAATTACTCATCTCCACAAAACGAAACTTCATCTCCTGACGGTATCTCATCTTCACCGAACGGTCCAAATATTGTTGCGTATTTGAGCTTCTCATCCCTCTCAACCGCCTTCATGTACGACCGTCTCTTTCTACAGGGTGACGTCAGCACCTTGTTTACAAATTTCCGACAGATATAGAATAGAAAATCGGGAATTCAATGGTACAAAAATAACTAAATTCCGATAATAGACTTTCAAATAGTGAACATTAGAGTTTTTCAATACTTCAGCCAATTAAATTGCGATTGGTTACCGCCATGATTGGAACCGATGACGTAGTGTCAATGGGATTTGCTATGATAGTTAATATCGCTCTTCATGTTGATGAAATTATCAGTTCATGGCTACAATGAACATTGCTCAACCTATCGCACATAATGTGCATTACGGAAAAATTACGGAACGACTTGTTGTCCCAAGGCGGTGAGTCATCAGACGGGTGGTTAATTTTTAAGGAACAAATCGTAGAATTTACGTGGCGATTCGTACAATTTCAGTTTCGACTCACAATGTTTATTGCATTTTACTTCGCTCGCGGATTACGTTTCGAAACGTAATTTTTGCGTTTTTTTTTCTGGTAATTTTTATTAAACTTTTCTCTCCGTGTACTGAATTATCCTCAAAGTGCTGATGACCGTTTAGGCCAATCAGTGTCCACCATAATTCAACATAAATATTCATTTATTATTAAACCGACTCGTATTGCACAATACACGGAGAGAAATATTCAAGAAAAATTACGGAACATTTCACGTAATCCGCAAGCGAGAATCGTTTTCGGTGAATTTCTATAGAAATAGAAGAGAATAAATTTGAAACGTTTAGTAAATTTTCGGGTCTGTCACCGAAAAAATACGAAAAAGTCACGTAATTTTTCTGGAAGTTGTAAAATCTAACAGAAAATTCAAGACTTATTATGCCTCAGAACATGAAAATTCTTGATGTTTAAGAATTTTTACGAAAAGTTCCGGAAAAATTACGGAACGTGTTGTTAAAATCTCCCCCTCACGGTGACTCATGGCTAGCCGTGAGGCGTCGGACGGATGAGTAATTTTTACGGAACAGATCGTAGAATTTACGTGACGATTGACACTTTTTATTGAATTTTACTTCGTTCCCAGATTACGTTCCGAAACGTAATTTTTACGTCTTTTTTCTGGTAATTTTTATTGAATATTTCTCTCCGTGTACGTATGTTAGGATAAGAATGCCGCGATAACCGGCAGCCTCCCCAGAAGACGAACGCGTCTTCCCGACGACATCTGCTCAAGCCGTCTAAGCCCCGGTGGTAGGTATCATCGAGGTCACAATGGCCACACGGCAATTCTCATAAAGTCTCCAAGTCCCGAAGTCCGTCTGAAAGCCCTCTCCGCCGAGTCCCTACGCTCGGTCTCCCCCGGTAGTGACAGTGTATTCTACAGCGAAGGGGCTGATCAATCTTGCCTGACTGCTCACGATTCTCATCACTGCCATAATTGCGGAAAAGAGGTTCGTACCCAATTCCATCGCTGAGACTTTATTAATACCGTGAATTGAATGTTGACGGAATTTGATTGAAGGTGACGGAGGAAATTGTTCAGCCACCGGCGGGTTTTGCCGACTCACCCGAAGGGCCGAGAACTGGTGCAGTATCAAAACACGTTAGTCACAGATTGTACAAGAAATTTGACAAGAGGTACAGATCGGAGGATCGCGCGGAAAGAAGGTATCATCGAAGTAATGGGCGTACTGATGTGCGAGCTAAATCTGAGGAGCGAGGTGGCAGATCATCGAGTAGGGGATCCATTGAAGACGGAATAAGAAGACGACTTCAGGCTAGAAGCACTGATGTCAGTATGGAGACCCTAGCATGTAAGTTGTTCGATTACATATCAAACTGGGATACGTAAATGTTAACACAAACAAATTCAACACAGTATTCGAAATCAGTAAATATTTACTTTGGGCCTAAAAATAAAAAAAATATGAACAACAATACAGTGAATTGCATCAATAAATGAGAACTTATAAATTACAGTGAAAGATGTTATTTCGACTGGTATATTCATGTTCTGTATTATCCCTGGGCTATTTTACTCGCCAAACCTTGAATGTTCTTAAGGATGTTCGACACCCTTTTAGCCAAAATTGACGTTGTTTTCATTTTTCTGGCAAATTATCGATGGGAGTGACGTGAAAAAATATAACGATTTTGTGGTTTGTCATTCTTCAATGGCTCACGAAGTTGCGTAGTGGTGCGATAATTTTCATGCGTTTTTTCTACAGTTTTGTGATTCTTTTTAAAAGTTTAGAGAAAACGCAGGAAAATGTTCGTACCACCTTAAAATTTCGTCAGTCATTAAATAATGACAAAACGCAAAAACGTTATATTTTTTCACGTCAATTCCATCATAAGTTTGCCAGAAAAATTAAAAAAACGTGAATTTTGGCAGAAAGGGTGTAGAACATCCTTAAGGTGTAAATTACATGGAAAGCAGGATGCTATATGCTATCTTTCGACTTTCCGGATCTGTATACGAGGGAAACAAATAATAAACAATGTACAAATTAAAAAATTCGAAGGCACACGGACTCGAACTCAGGGATATGATCAAACTGGAGATGTGGGATTCGTGTGCCTCCGAATTTTTTAATTTGTGCATTGTTAATTACTTAATTGTTTCCCTCGTATGAGAGGTCGCAATTACTGATTGACTGATTTATGTTTTGTATTATCTCGGATGAAATGATACAAAACATAAATCAGTAAATTGGCAAATTCAATAAATTGATATCAAATTACAATTAAACTAATCACAACAAAACAATATCATACTAAACATCACAGTTTCGTTGAAATCTATTCGCAATACTCATAATCACAAAAATATTATCTTTATTAAATTGTATTAAATTTGTGTTAATACTCTGAGTCATCCTGCTACTAATCCCTCAATTACTATCACAAATAGTGATTATTGAGGTGACACAAAACTTTAAATACACACACAGCTCTACACGTGTTAAATTTGTATATGTTAAATTCTCCAGAGCTAAAAATGCATGTGTTAAATCTGTCGGTTGAAATTTAAGTGTGTTATTTTGACCGGTAACCAGTTGCTCATTAAAAACCCATCATCTAGCGTGACTCCCCGCGTAGAAAAAAATTTAAGCCAAAACTTATAAGTGAGATATAGTGATTTTGCCGGAATTATATCTTGAATATATCCGCCTTGTATACCCGGTATGTGCTAGATATATCCGGTGGCATATACATATACAGATATATCCAACATATATCTCAGATATTGCATTTTTTGTCGGAAAGTCTATCACACATAAGCGGATATAAGTGAAATATACTTCTGCATATAGGGGAGGTTGGGGTAAAACGGACACTTTTGACTTTTTTTAAAATGTTAATGAGGGGTTGAAATGTTGATAATGTTTTTTTTTCAATACAAAGAACAATTCTTTCCCTTTGGGAAGAGCCTAAACTGAGCTCAATTGATCAATTTGTTTCTGAGTTATGAATAATTTAAAAAAGTCTCAAGTGTCCGTTTTACCCGACCCTCCCCTATATTTTTTCCATGTGGGTCCCCTTCAGACCGTGAGGACGAGGACTCATACGTCGAGCCCTACACGGGTAACGAGTGGATTTACATCGGCGAATTGGAGGAGAGTCACGTGTGGAAGCGTCCGGACAGTCGAGACGGTGACGACGAGTCCTCAGAGGGCCCCATCAAAGATCGCCGGGGCTCACAGGGCTCAACGGAGAGCGAAAAGGGCTTTCAAAAAAAGTATCAGGCAGCCACACACCGAATGGTCCACCGAAAAAGCAGCGGAGAAATGTACAAACGTATACAGAGCAAAAGTTTCGGTGAGTACCATCTCAATCACGCAATTACGTGCAGAGAATTCCCTCCATTGTTCATCCCCTGAAACTTCACGAGTCCTATTGTTTATCACTTGAAAGCGCAGATCGATTCTGCGCCGAGTGATGCTTTGAGACCTCGACATTCCTCTGGTTCGATTCGTTTCACGCCTTCCTCATCAATAAAAGTTGAAGGTCGTTTTATTTTTAATCAAATCCCCGTCTACTCGGTCATACAGCTAGTAGAACGCGTTCTTCGCATATTCTCAGCCATCTGGTTAAGCTACTCCAGTTTTTTTTCTCCTCTCTCTATCATTGCAGCATGAAAGCACATAAGCAAACTGCATCTGTTTAAAAATTTCCAGCCGAGATGGATAAAAATAGAAGACAGAATAACACGGATTTTCTTTAAAAAAAAGAAAAAGCTGTGAACTCGTGGCCCACAAGACGACCGGAAAAGATAGTTCGCCTCGGGCCATTAGTTCCATATTTCCTTTTTCTCTCTTTTCCCCTGTGGAATTCCTCGTCTCATGTTACGAAAAGCCTCTCCCATAATTGAAAAACCCACTGAAAAATTGATCCGGGAGCTGTATTTATTTAGCCCTATTCTCCCTTGGGGCAGAATAAAACATCATTATGATTCAATTTATCGATTTGCCGATGGGATTTGAGACGTTTAGATATGTCTGTCGTTAGCTCCAGAGATTGCTGTAGTCACATGGATAACATTTTCTTAGAATAAAAAGAATCGAGTGTACAGGCGTCTTCATCGTGGCCCTCTCGCTTCCTCCCATTCAGCCCCCCAAAAAGCTCTAGAAAGAGTCGATGACTCAGCCGTGGCGCATTCGGCCTCGTCCCTCCACTTCTCACCCCGTCCGTTATTTCAATCGAGAAAAGACGCCCTTAGGATGCAAAAAAGAAGATGACAAATATATGGAAAAATTGCACGAATAGGCCTTTGATATTTCACAGCTTTGGTACATCGGTAGAATGAAAATTTCAAGATGAATTTTCGTCTCTCATTTTGCTTTGAATATAGCCCGCATAATACCATGCCAGTAACTTCTAAATATAATATTGCCGGTGTTACCATTTCTCTTTCTCTAATGGCAACATCTTTTGGACTGGTATTCGAGAGTGCGTGTTGGTTGGGGTCGTGGTACTCTATAACAGTTTCGAAGATTCAGTGGAAGGGGCCATAAGTGCGAACGGTGAGCGAAGTTAGAGACTTCTGGCTTGGACAGTCAGTGGGTCACGGTGGTGGGGCACTCCATGAGACTTTACGTGCTCTTTTTTGCGTACTGTGCTTTCAAGTACTGACAGTCATCATCAGTATATTCGGGATTAGCTGCCCGTTATTCTGAAAAATCTGGTTGTGATAATCTGACAGTCGTCTCAGCTGACGACAGCTCAGTGTGAACACCGTCGGGCCAAAAATGGTGTGCGATTCCGTTGGCACCAGTTGTCCACCCGAGGTGGGTGATGATATTTCCCTGAAGAAGTCCCTCGAGGAGGTCCTCAAGTGCATGCTGAGGGTGTGGTGCAGGGAGGAACAGGCGCTGACCAAGCTCACCTCTACTGTTGATGGTAAATATGAGGATTGCCAGGTTGATGAGAAAAGTTGAGATTGTCTGGTTCAATGGGATGGAAGGGGGGCTGTTTGGCAGATTCAGTGAGCCTCGACCTTGTTTCTTTCAGACAGCCGACGAGACTGGTGATTTTTTTTCATAGATTTTTCGGAGGTTGCCAACTATTATTTGGTTGGGCACGTGAGACGAGAGTGCTTATGCCTCAAAAAATTGGCAATTGTCTCCGCGAAGAGTTATTTGCATACCTTTTGCTTCCGAATGGAAGCATTGTAATCCTTCCGTTTTCACATTCTCTAATTTTGATTGGAAATTATGTAGAATGGTCTGAAACGTAAAAATACCAAGTTTGGCGACCATGTCTGTATGTGACCACGTCTACCGCCACCTTCCCGGTGGTCAATTTTTAGAAAATTGAGGAATTAGGTGGCTAAAGTAATTTCAACAAATCTGAAATTTTGTCAGATTATAGGTCCTGATAAGAACTACACGGAGAGATATTTTTTAGAAAAATTCTAGTGCACGGGAAAAGAGGCGCAAAATGACGGTCAGGAAAAAATTCCAGTGCCGGCACTAGAAATTTTATTGGGGAAAACGTGAATTTTTCCCCGTATTTCTGTGAAAATTTTACACAAATCTCCAAACATTTTACCAGAAATACCAAGAAATGTTATTTTAATAGCACTAGAATTTTCACAGCCGATGGATTGTGATTTATTCCAGTACTCGTAAATTTTAACCCGATCGATCTAATAGTTTTGAGAAGAAGCGATTCATTTTTAAATCGTTTTCCGCAAATATCTTCAATACTAGTGGACCGATTTCGATTTACTTTTCAAAATATTCGTGTCGACGTCTTCTATCTAAATCAATCAAAACATATACCCGTTCATACAAAGTTTTCGAGATATTCTCGTTTTCCGTTTTTTCATAAAAAACTTTATAAACACTCTAGCTTGTGCAGAAATCGAGATATCAACTTGAAATTTGGACAGAATCTTCCTCTCATGATAACAATGTTTCGAATTGAAGATGGGCTGTATCGTATCAGTAGTTTCTGCGATATTCGACTTTTTCTGAAAATCGTTTACATGGAATATCTTCAAAAATAGGCAACCGATTTCACTTTTTTTTCAAATCATTCGTTTCGATGTGTTCTGTCTAAATCAATCAAAACATATGTACCCGTTCATACAAATTTTTCGAGATATTCTCGTTTTCCGTTTTTTCATAAAAAAAAAAAACTTTGTAATCACTTTAGCTCGTGCAAAAATCGAGATATCAACTTGAAATATGGACAGAAAATATCTATACCGGCTCATACGAAGTATTCGAAACATTAGAATTTTTATAGCACCCATGGAGGTGGCAGTAACCATCAGAAATTTTTGCTGCTCGTTTGTGCTGTGAAACTATAAACTTTTGTAATATTTCAGTCCATTCGGAAGCCCGCCATCAATGCAGTGATGGCGAAAAAAAAGACATTACTCAGTGACATGCTCTCTGTCAATTGACGTGCTGTCTCCTGCTTATTTTATAATAGCTTGTCAATCCGGCATGCACCAGTAAAACAATGGGGATAAACATAGCTGGTTTGATCTGTCCCGCGGTCAAAAATAAAACTTCCTCAGTAGGCTAGATGAGTAAAGGCCATGCAATGCGCCCACGACACGCTTAAAAAAACGCTCTAGTACTATAGAATCGTTGTCATTACCTACCTCACTACGAGATTCGTCCATTCACGATTTTCATTCGGTTATTAATCTTCCCATGTGGAAAACATTTAATCATTTTGTAAATCACATTAGGGTCTTTGTTTGTACCGCTCCTCCCACGGGAGAATTTCATCCGTTAATTAATGGAAAGAGTTGTATTCCACTCTTTGTACTACACGATTACGATTTCAATTAGTGGTATACAAATTGCTCCGGTCTCATAATTAAATATTTCATCATCAAGCGATCTTGATGAAATTCTAACCATTTTACACTGAAAGAAAAATCGACATAATTCATGGTAGGTTTCAGACAAGAAATCGGTGCTCTTTGGGCTAAGAGAGGGTGAGACTGAATCAAAAAACGATCTTTTTTTCTGGAAATTATATAATATTCCTGAAGAGACAAACTTAGTTTGAGAGAAGGAAAAGATGTTATTGCTTTCCTTCGAACTCATTGCGATTGAGGGGAAGTGACGGTTATATTTTTGAAATATCTGAATGTTCTCCCCTGTATAAATTCTGTATTCATTCAATGTGAAAGTCTCTGATCTATGATTCACTGAATCTGAGCTTTTAGTATTTTGAGGCATTTTCGATTACTAATTGAAGGATTTCTTGAGGCAGGAAATTCTCAATTCATCGCCAAGTGTTTGCGTCCAAATCAATAAGATTTCTCAGGATTCTTACACAGTCTGACACATTATGGGGAATTCTTATCCCAAACGTTTTATCCTTGAGAGATGAGATATTTGACGGAAGAAATAAATTTTGTGATATTATGTCGACATTTCTCTCAGTTTAGATGCCCAACAGTCCATTTGGAATTTCGCATTTTCATCTCTCCAAATAGAACAGACGCCCCGCTCCAATTTCCGAATTCCGAAAACCCCAAGAATTTCACCAACTTTCCTATTCCTATTTTTAGAGAGCGATAAAACGGTGATAGTGAAGCGTGAAGCGGGTGGTGAATTTGACTTCAGAATTCATGGATCAGAACCCGATGTTTTCTCATTCTTTGACAAGAAATGGACAATTTCTTGAGGCAGGAAATTCTCACTTTATCGCAAAGTGTTTGTGTTCAAGTCATCAACATTTCACAGGATTCTTACACAGTCTGACTCATTATGCGGAGATCTTATCGCAAGCGTTTTATACTTAAGAGATGAGATATTCGAAGGAAGAAATAAATTTTGTCATATTCTGTCGACATTTCTCTCAGTTTAGATGCCCAACAGTCCATTTGGAATTTCGCATTTTCATCTCTCCAAATAGAACAGACGCCCCGCTCCAATTTCCGAATTCCGAAAACCCCAAGAATTTCACCAACTTTCCTATTCCTATTTTTAGAGAGCGATAAAACGGTGATAGTGAAGCGTGAAGCTGGTGGTGAATTTGGCTTCAGAATTCATGGATCAGAACCCGTTGTTTTCTCATTCTTTGACAAGAAATGGACAATTTCTTGAGGCAGGAAATTCTCACTTTATCGCAAAGTGTTTGTGTTCAAGTCATCAACATTTCACAGGATTCTTACACAGTCTGACTCATTATGCGGAATTCTTATCGCAAGCGTTTTATACTTAAGAGATGAGATATTCGAAGGAAGAAATAAATTTTGTGATATTATGTCGACATTTCTCTCAGTTTAGATGCCCAACAGTCCATTTGGAATTTCGCATTTTCATCTCTCCAAATAGAACAGACGCCCCGCTCCAATTTCCGAATTCCGAAAACCCCAAGAATTTCACCAACTTTCCTATTCCTATTTTTAGAGAGCGATAAAACGGTGATAGTGAAGCGTGAAGCTGGTGGTGAATTTGGCTTCAGAATTCATGGATCAGAACCCGTTGTTTTCTCATTCTTTGACAAGAAATGGACAATTTCTTGAGGCAGGAAATTCTCACTTTATCGCAAAGTGTTTGTGTTCAAGTCATCAACATTTCACAGGATTCTTACACAGTCGGACTCATTATGCGGAATTCTTATCGCAAGCGTTTTATACTTAAGAGATGAAATATTCGAAGGAAGAAATAAGTTTTGTGATATTATGTCGACATTTCTCTCAGTTTAGATGCCCAACAGTCCATTTGGAATTTCGCATTTTCATCTCTCCAAATAGAACAGACGCCCCGCTCCAATTTCCGAATTCCGAAAACCCCAAGAATTTCACCAACTTTCCTATTCCTATTTTTAGAGAGCGATAAAACGGTGATAGTGAAGCGTGAAGCTGGTGGTGAATTTGGCTTCAGAATTCATGGATCAAAACCCGTTGTTGTATCAGCTATCGAGCCTGATACACCAGCCGAATCATCTGGCCTAGAAGTCGGTGATATCATAATGTCTGTTAATGGAAGAAGTGTGATGGATGCAACACACTCTGAGGTTGTTAGACTGGCACACTCTGGGCCTGATGTATTGGAGTTGGAGGTCGCCAGGACGTGTAATGTACTTGCACCCAGGGTTACTAGAGGACCAAAGGAGACTGTTGAGACACCACTGTGCTCCGGTTATTTATGGAGAAAAGCGACAACTGTTAATTCAAGTGGAAGTAGTTCGGACAAATGGGTGCGCAGATGGTTCGCGTTACGACGAGATAACTGCCTTTATTACTACAAGACAGATACGGTATGTTTGGTCGTACAAAATGAAACTTCGCTAATCCATAATTTTAACGTGATTGCCGAATGAATTTTTCTTCCAATAGAACTGATGAATTCCAGTAATGGATACAAAATTTCACTGCTAAATGTCACTATTCAATGAAAAATTGTATGAGAAAAAAATCGATCAATTTCCATTTTTTTTGTCTTTCCAAAGGACTCCCAACCGGTCGGTGCTGTCATGCTCTTAAAATACGAGGTCGAAACAACACCGGATGTCAAGCCTCACAGTTTTGTCATCAGAAAACAAGGCGCACCGTCCCATCATCTAGCAGCGGATAACGAGGACTCGATGCAAAAATGGATAACAGTCATACGTGATGCTGTGCAGAGAAATAACCAGGTATACATAACCCTTTGTTAAATTTCATTCACCAGAATCTTGTTTGCGAAATATTGTTTCCAATAGAATGTCCCCATTGATGGAATTTCATTGACTTATTAATTAATAAATGGAACTCTGTACCGAGTTTTGTAGGAAATGTCAGAGGTTACTGGGTATGAATTGCCGTTTTACGTGAAATAGTCGTAAATCTGAGTTTTAAAAGGGATCACTTGACTCGGAGTTTCAACTAAAATTGATGAGTGTTGAGTCAAAGTTTTATTATGAAAACTCTGATGAAAAAATCACGATTTTGTGTCAGTCCAGAATTATAGCCATTCGAAAATAGTATTAAACCACATGTCCATGATTTATGAATGCGAACCAAAATCTTGATTGAATCTTTCAATTTCACCAGAATCTTGTTTGCGAAATATTGTTTCCGATAGAATGTCCCCATTGATGGAATTTCGTTGACTTACTAATTAATAAATGAAACTCTGTATCGAGTTTTGTATGAAATATCAGGCATGAATTACCATTTTACGTGACATAATCATAAATCTCAGTTTTTAAAAGGGATTACTTTACTGAGTTTCTAACTAAATTTGATGAGTTTTGAGTCGAAATTTAATCCTGAAAACTCTGATAAAAAAATCACGATTTTGTGTCAGTCCAGAATTATAGCCATTCTAAAATAGTATTAAACCACATGTCCATGATTTATGAATGCGAACCAAAATCTTGATTGAATCTTTCAATTTCACCAGAATCTTGTTTGCGAAATATTGTTTCCGATAGAATGTCCCCATTGATGGAATTTCGTTGACTTACTAATTAATAAATGAAACTCTGTATCGAGTTTTGTATGAAATATCAGGCATGAATTACCGTTTTACGTGACATAATCATAAATCTCAGTTTTTAAAAGGGATTACTTTACTGAGTTTCTAACTAAATTTGATGAGTTTTGAGTCGAAATTTTATCCTGAAAACTCTGATGAAAAAATCCCGATTTTGTGTCAGTCCAGAATTATAGCCATTCGAAAATAGTATTAAACCACATGTCCATGATTTATGAATGTGAATCAGGCGGATACGTGGTTGGACGCCTCGTTGAGAATGCAGCAGATGCCGGCCAATGCTATTCAGCGACCCGATTGCTTTGGTTATCTCAGTAAACAACAGGATCGTGCTAGGAAAACATCATCGCCAACGGGATGGTCAAGGCGCTATTGTGTCCTGAAGGATGCTGCCCTGTATTTTTACGACGATGCCAATGCCGAAAAGGCATTTGGGGTTGCTTGTCTTCACGGATTTAGGGTTCACGGTTCGGCCCCCAATTCTGGGGGACGAAAACATGCGTTTGAATTGCAACCACCTGATCCCACTCAACGAAGCTACACTTTTGCTGCTGACAGTGAAATGGAGAAGAAGAGGTTTGTATTCATAAAATTTATGATAATACCACGAAATACATTTTCTCAGATTATTTCACAAATGCTTGTTTTTTTACGCTAGAAAAGGGGGCGCGCTTGATTGCTGCATATTATTTTTCGTTATTATTTATCCATTTATTCATTGAAAAGGAGTTAATGACCGCTCTATTATGTTTAGATTTGGGAAAAATTTTGAGAAATGATATTTAAAATTTTTCGCGGCGAAAAGTTCATATTGTAAGGTTTATTTTCATGTCAGTCCTTCCTCTATTAACATATAGATGAAACATTTCTGGTCAGCAATCTATTTTGCCAAGCCTATCCGAGATTTAGGAATGTCCCAATTTTATTTTGGCTTATATGAATAAAAAATACTTATTTACATATCAAATGTACAAAATAATGATAATATTATTAATAATATATTATAATTTATATATTAAATATATACAGATAATGTTTTATTATTTTAGACATTTTATATATAAATGAGTATTTTTTATTCGTTACCTATTTTTTAATAGAGGAATACACTGTTAAAAATGTTTGTCTGAAATTTCCGGTACACTATTTGAAAATTATTATCGCATTTAATTACCACTGAAATTTCAAGGAATTTCGTCATTGAAAATCCCGAATTCCGTAGAAGTGTAAATTTCAGTTCCATTTTTCCCGGAAAATAAATAGAAAATCAGAAAATTGCGTTAAATATATTCTTGAATTTTCAGGACAGTGACACAAATGCTATGTAGGGGGAAAAAAATCATGAAATTTCAGATTTCACTGAAAATTCAATGTAATTTGACACTGAATATTCATATTAGATTAGAAATTCAAATAAATTAAAGAATTCTCGTCTTTATGCTGCTTAAAATGCTGGAAATTTACTGAGTTTTCAGTGAAACCTGAAATTTCATGATTTTTCCCCCCTAAATCGTATTCGGTGTCACTCTCCTGAAAATTAGTAGTCAACTGCCCATGAAATTGCATTTTTTTTTTAACAGTGTAAGAATTCCTCCGGCGTTTTTTCGCATTTTCTTAAATTGATTTATACCTCATGTCAGCCAAAATGAGAATTGAAACAGCAGAAACGAAGAAGTGAAATATGAAAAACTTCCGAATCGTTCTTATTTTTCTCAAGGATCATACGGCTTTTTACGATTTTTTTTTTATTTAAAAAAAATCCTCTTGGTATTACCTTGATTTACAACTTCATCACATATTTTTATGACTACAACATAACGACCTGTAGTTGACATGACCCAGAATACACTTTTCCCCATATTTCGCTGTTGAAAGTTTTCAATATTTTCCAAGCAAGAGGAAGTTTGAAAAGTACAGAAATGTGTTCGAGTAATAGTGTGGAAAAAAGTTGTGCACGATCAATACTCACTTTTCCGAATTCCCAGAGGATTTTCCCGAGGGATGTGTATAAATAAAACTTATAACTTCGTCTTGAGAAATTCGCCACCTGTAAACACAAAAAAAAAATTATCAATACTTTTCTAAATGATTGAAATTATTTTTAAACGATGTTTTCATTTATTTTGCCATGCACTCCAAGGTCATCCAGTGCAAAACCCCATTGATCTTAATGAACAATAAATTCCTTTAGGTGGTTAGCAGCGCTTGAGTACTCGATCGACCGTTGGATAAAGGTCGGCTGACGCGTTTGCCATCAAATCGCCCAAGAATAACGCAATGTTCAACAACGCTCATCGAATGTAAAATAAAAATAAAAAAGAAAATATTGGAAGATGATAGCCTACACCAGTCGGTTCCTACAGCGCGAAAAAGTAATAATTAAATAACTTCTCACAGACAAAAATTTTCAGGGTCCTGAGTCGATTCCACATATTTACGAAAAAATTTCATGGGAAAAGCTATTGAATGCATTAGAGAATTCTATTGGATTTTTTATTTGATTTTTTTAATGGAAAGAAAAGAAAAATAGACTGCAGATTTTGTCTTCAACCTTTACACCGAACCTCTCCGAAAACGTACGTTTAGCGTACCCTGCGGTTTGTGAGACTGCTACTCCGTCTTGATCGCATTTCCCGTTTGTTTGAGCGAATGAATCACTACTTTTTGTAACTGAAGGTTCAAATGAGGGCTAAACCGGAGAAAGGTCAAACAAGGAAAGGTTAAACAATGGAAGGGTCAAATGTGGAAGGGTTGAACAGAAGAGGCAAAGCGTATACACGGAGAGAAATATTCAGTAAAAATTACGGAACGCTCCGTGAAAAATTCCGTGACAGTTACGTAAAATTTCCTACAACCACGTTTCGCTCCAGAATTACGGAAAAGATACGTCATTTTTATTGAATATTTCTCTCCGTGTAAGTATATTCAATTCCATTTTTTTTTCTTTGCACATAAATCTTTGTTGCGAACATTTTTTCATATAAACATGGCCTGTTAATCCTCGATTATCGAACTAACAAAGATATGGCATTCATCACGAGTAATTGGTGCTAGTTATTATCTTTCATCAATTCCCTCAGGGAATAAATTAGAAGAAATTGGTGGTTTCATAGATTTATTGGGGCAAACAAGATCAAAAACGTTTTGTATCGATTGGAACCGATGAAATAGGAAGCTACTGGAAGTTTCAATTTTTTTTTCTTACATTTATCAATACTGTCAAAGTTTTGATAGCGGTCCCACAGACCGGGAGTTCGGTGTGAAGGTTCAAATAATTTCTATTGAACATTTCATCGACAGAAGTGGCCACAAACTGATAGAATTTTCGACAGAAATTTGATAGAATTTTCGATCGACTGGCTAGGTTTTTCAGTGAAATTTTTTTCTACCTGTTTCCTTTGTTTGAAATATAAAAAAACGAATGTAGAGTAGAGATGGGCGACGTTTATAAAAACATCGATTATTTAAAAAATCTTTTTTTTCTCATTACCCAGAAAAAAACTAATTTTTAAAAAATTTAATGTCGTTTTTATTGAAAATATGTATTGAAAAAATATAACCCGAGGAACTTCCGTTTCGATGATAAGTACTACTGGAGAGTCAAATGTTCAATCTTGAAATAGGGTTGTTGATTAATCGAAAAAATATATTTAATTTATTCCGCGGCTGGACGTTAGCTGCAATAATTGTTGATTGTTATATATATGTCATTATTGATAATGGTTGTAGTCGATTGACTAACCGGTAAATGTTAAGAAAGAGAGCCCCACCACCGATCTTTCTGAAAACTTAACCATCGGATCGGTGGTTCGGTCCTCTTTCTTAACCCTAGTTTGGTCACCTGACGGGAACCTGCGACTCTGGTCACCTCCGCGGGGATTTGCCGCCGTGTTATTTAGGCTCCAGCGTTGCCGAATTCACTCTACACTGCCCGGGCGCGTTTAACGAGTTTCCAGCAACGTCGCGCAACGGGCAATTTCATTTAACATGGGAAAAAATTGTTCAACTGTTGGAAATGATTTTTTTTCTTCCAGAATTTGGGATGTAATATTAAAAAAACAATACTAAAATTTTCCAGATACTTTAATTGACGAATTTAAATTTCTTCGGATTTTTCCGGTCAACCAGCCGGTGACAAGACGAAAAAAACGACACGTTGCGGCAATTTCCTCGCATGGTGACCAATCTAGGGTTAACATTAACCAAAACTTTGTTAGCTTGTTCAAGAACATCGATGTTTGTTTGGAAAAAAAAAACTGTCGAAAATGGATTAATCGGAAATTGAGAACATGAAATGAAAAACATCGATATTTTCGATTAATCGACAAATTATTGCTGATTGTGGATAAATTTTTTTTTATTCTCAATCAATCGACATTATTATTCGATGAAAAAATGAACAATTTTGTTAGCTTGCTCAAAAACATCGATGTTTGTAAAAACGAGTCGAAACTCGATTAATCGGACATTGAGAACATCGAATGCAAAGCATCGATGTTTGGCCATGAATAACCGAGGTTTTCAATTAATCGATAAACTACTTCCGATTGCGGATAAATTATTTTTTTTATTCTCGATCAATCAACGTTATTATTTAACTAAAAAAATGAAAAATTTTGTTAACTTTCTCAAGAACATCGATATTTGTAGAAGAGTCGAAAATTATTGCTGATTGTGGATAAATTTTTTTTTATTCTCAATCAATCGACATTATTATTCGATGAAAAAATGAACAATTTTGTTAGCTTGCTCAAAAACATCGATGTTTGGAAAAACGAGTCGAAACTCGATTAATCGGACATTGAGAACATCGAATGCAAAGCGTCGATGTTTGGCCATGAATAATCGATGTTTTCAATTAATCGACAAAAATCGCCCATCCCTACTGCAAAGAAAAATTCCAAAAGCGTCCACAGGTTTGACCCCGAAAAACGAAATTCGCCTCAATTTTTTTTTTTCGCGTGGGTAGGACAAAGCGACAGAGCCGAACAAACGAAATGTAAAGCATATTAAATCCCCGCCGTCCCACATTGTGCATCCTCAATAGCATAAGTTATAAAATATGAATTGAAACCGGGATAATTCCGATGGACTATTGTCCACGAGAATAACCAATTATCCAACCGATTATTTTCCGACATAACGAGATTATATCAATATCCCGTGCTTGACCCCATTCTATGGTTTTGAACTATTTATATTTGTTTGTCAGCCCCTCGTCATCGATTATTATAAAAATAATGCATACGTTATATATTTATTTACTCACGTGCACAAATTGCCAATGCTTTATAATTATTGTTGTTATGATCGATAAAGAAAAATATTGCATTAAAAACATAAATCGATATGATATATTATATTGTATAGAGAAAATATAAGAGTGAGTATTTAAGATGAATATTTTGTTGATGATGAGTGAGTTGGGTATTTCGAGGGTGAATGGGCCAATAGTTGTTGTTTATTCATAGGTTTATTAACATCGGTAAAATAGCATGATTATTAATATGGTGTAATGAAACAATTAGGGGTAGGAAATTGGAGGAAAACACTGAGTGAGTGGAAATATGAGTGGAGAGTATTGTGATTTTGTTATTTATGAAGTAAATGGGAGAATTGTGCATCGATTTTTTTTTCATTTTCATTTTCACGATGAGATTTAGATTTAATAAATTATATGGATATTATGTGTGTTATACATCTATGGCGGAGACTAATGGATATTGAGAAATTTTTAGAATTATCGGATTGTATTTTAACGAGAAGGAAATATTTGAAAATTTATATTCAGTGGGTTGATAGTTTTTCCTTTGTGGTGATGAAAAATTTTAGGAGAATGCTGTTTTATGGAATTATCAATTCTACGAATTTTCAAAATTTTTGCTCGCAGTGATGACGAATATTTCATGTGTTCCAGCTGTTGAGCCTTAAAAATGATTTATTCAAAATATTAAAGAAATATGAATTTTGAAAGGACAAAATCATGAGATTAAACTGATATCCAAAAACCGCTCAAAATGTAAGATAATAATCAAGACTTGAAAATACCAGATTATAACGGCAGCTGCCAATGACATAATTGTATGATAAAAACCCCATTTACATAATTTCAAATTTGCAGAAGAATTTTAAAGAATCGAAGACAGAAAATTTAGATTTGGTACATTTTTTAATTTGATAAAACGAGTTTTCAATTTCGAAAAATCATTGTTTTGTAACAATTAATCATTTGACAGAATAAGAATTTCCAATTGGAGAATAATTTTCTCGATAGTAGATAAATTCCGTTAATCATCGGTAAAGTAAATCTCCATCGGTATTAACAGCCATCGGTAAGCACTCAATTTTTATTATCGACTCACGAGCATTTACCTGAAGACAGCAAAAACATAAAAGCAAAATTTTTTTTGTAAAATAGAACATTCAAATTCGTAAGAAGAAATAAACAATTCTAATTAGATAAGAAATGGTGGATTAATGTAAATACAAGGTCAGTGTGCTCACTTTATGATGTGTATTTAATAACAAAACCGAAGATAGCTAAAAAAAATCTGAAAATTTTGTTCCGCGCTTTCATTTTTGTTTTTTTAAATCATTTCAAAAAATTAAAATGTCATTGTTCTAGATTTTAGAAGTAAAACGCTGTGTGTATCCAGTAGGTGCCATTTAGTGGAGAACGAAGTAACGAAGAAAAAGTGGAGACGTATGATAAAATAATTAAATAAAGTGTGATAAAACAATCTTCAAACACCTGAGATAACGACGAAGAGAAAAAATATTATTTCGTAAACAAAACGATGTTGTTTACACGAAATATTTCCTGTGTTTTAGAATAAAAAAAAATGATAAAATCTATTCAACCATAATTTCTATTCCTCAAGGAATGTTAATGTTTCATTTATCCTTTATTTTTTTTTTTCGAATAATCCCTTGGAATGAAAAGTAAACTTCCCTCACTCTGACGTATGTAAACGTTTTCTCATCTCGCTCTTGTGTGCGTCGAGAGAACATCCACGGTGATGGGGAAAGGAAGGCAAAGAGAAAAAAGGTCCAGAGGAAAAAAATATACCGAGTGGATAAAGAGAAAGAGAGAGAGAGAGAGAGAGAGAGAGAGAGAGAGAGAGAGAGANCTTCCCTCACTCTGACGTATGTAAACGTTTTCTCATCTCGCTCTTGTGTGCGTCGAGAGAACATCCACGGTGATGGGGAAAGGAAGGCAAAGAGAAAAAAGGTCCAGAGGAAAAAAATATACCGAGTGGATAAAGAGAAAGAGAGAGAGAGAGAGAGAGAGAAAGGGGAACGTAAGAGCAAGATCGCGAGTGTTTCAGGGCTCTTTGCGATTTAAATTACAGCCCGAAGCGGTTGGTGTGTTGGAAAGGAACTTGGTGGACCCCTACGTGTTATTAGAGCGACCGGGACGCAACCTAATTATGCAGAAAAAAAAATACTTCATCTCCCTCCGTAAACTCCACGCACTAATTCCCTGAGTAAGCGACCAGAGAGCGTCTGATTACCTGATGTACTCTTGAAAAAATGCCGATAGACGACGGGCATTCCTAATATTATCAGGGGATATTAAAGAAAACTCCAAAATTTTGCTGAGAAATTTATTAAATTCATCGTCATTATTCTTTCTCTGCACTCATTGTTCCACTTACTTGTTGAACAATCGATTACAGAACCCTAGACAACAGCATAATTAATAACGAAGAACCCATTCCAGGTCATTCCACGGAGGCAGTGTCCCTCCAATAGCTGACCACTGATATCCTCTTGCAAGTGCCGATCGTTCGCCTCTTCAACTTACCTTAGCTGTATTGTTTTTCTCCTCCCGATGGCTCGATCTCAGTTGCACTTACCTGGGACTTACCTGTACCCCTCGTTCTCTCCGATATCCCCCGCGATAACCGAGGATTGATGCTGCGTTCTCATTACGTGTCGTGTCGGTATGTCCATAGCCTGTAAAAAAATTCTAAATAAAAAAAAATTCATTCCTGACTTGGCCCAAGTTGTGCGAAAACTATGGGACTGTTTTGTTCGTTGAATTCCTCCTCCGATTTCCTCTCGGGAATACGTGCGTTATCCATGGGCCAGTGGGGAGTTAGGAACACTGGAATGGCGGTGGAGTGAGACGGGAGGGAACTAGTTCAGTGAACAAAACGACAGCAGAGGCGGTTGCACGCCAGCCAACCTCTTCGTATATACACTTAGGCTCTCGGGCATCAGACGATGCCTTCTCATTTTCTTTTTCAATACTGCTTTTTTTTTCTTTTTTTTCTTTTCAACTTGAGACTTCTTCTTCATCTTCTCCGTGTCGGTACTGAATACTCAAAGGGAAGAAGATAGCCACTTTAGTTACCATGTGCACTGGAATGCCATTTCGACACCAAATACCCTTAAATAGTTCTATTTGGCCATGGGAATCGGCTAAAATTTCGCATCCCAATATTTTTTCTTTTTCCATTGTCTCAAGCTATACTTCAGAAACTTGACAAAATAGTAAACGTAAAATGATCTTTTACATTGTTCTAACGCATACATTCGAGATAAACCCTAAAAGGGCAATAAACTTTATCTCTCTCTACGCGACCATTCGCATAATAACCCAATGTATTCTCCATTTTCCAGAAAATTCATTGCGTTACATCTTGATATGAGCCCGAAGACCCTTAACTATGTATTCAGTACTATCTCACACCATATATTTCTAAAAGTTCCCATAAATGGAGCATGAAATATATTTTATCCAATAATAATGCCCCCTACCAACAAGAAACGAGAAATAATTCCAACTGACTGGTTTTTCATTCCCCACGCATCAAGAGAGAAATTGGAAATAAATGAATATTGACTCGATTTTCCACTTGAATACGTGTTCTTAGCACAGGTGTTTCCGAACACTGGAAGTCCCATCCTGTGAAGGCCCCGTGTGTGCGAGTGAGAGAGAGAGAAAAAAAATACGACAAATGAAGAAAAAAAAATAAAGGACAGTAGTAACGTCTTACGAGGGGACATAAGAAGTGAGCCGAAGTATTTTTTTATACCCCCAGTGTGAGGGCCTGGGCCTGGGCGTCGTCGGCTGCCGCCAAGGGGGCCCCCAACTCGATCTCTCAAGAGCAACCAAGAATGCCCCTGGCTTCAGGCAAAATCCTCAGTCTCTCATCGTCTCTCTCTTGTACTGCTGTAGTCTACCATCGGGACTCATCCACTCGGCAGGCACGGTTGGGACCCCATGGGGCCCACTCCGATAATTTTCCGATACAATGGGGGGAACTGACCCCCCGGCAAATGCCTTCACCTGATCCAAGAATCGTCTCATTACCCAAGAAATCATTGACTAATTGATGATGACGATTGCAATGCGTGAATTGAAGGCCCCATTTCAGATAATTCCAAGGGGGACCAGGTACTCGCTACATCCCTGGGCCTCATGCCATTCCCTACCGGGTCCAAACCGCCTCCTACGATCAACCTGCGGTCCTCGCAAGCGACACAACACGAGTCTCTCCCCTCCCCTCGCGATATACCACTAGGCGACATCTCGCCATCTCGCTCCAGCATCATCCCAATCACCTCCAGCCATCATCCGTCCTACCCTCTCTCTCTCCATCCTCCTCCCACCACTCGTTCAACTCACTCGGGCCGATGTATTCAGATGAGAGCTCGTCTCTCTCTCTCTCTCACTTCAGGTGCACTCCGCTCCCCCACACAATCGTTTTTTTTAGGACAGTGTACCTGGTCGTACATCTCTCTCTGAATCAAGAGGCAGAATGAGAGTGAGAGAGCGCGATTGAAGGTAAAACGCACCCAGCATCCAGCAGCGACAGCGCTACTAGCGGCAGCCAAACGGAAAGAGTGGACTAACCGCTGTGCCGCGGAGTACACAGGCACGAGCTGTATGTGCAGGTCGCGTTAGTCTTCGTAATGTTAGTGAAAATTGTAATGTAGACTTATCTGTGTGGTTGTGTGGAGAACGGGTGGAAGCCTACCTGACGGCGTCCAACACGCAGTAAACCGCGCAGCACCATCAGCCACGCAAAACCTGCATTACAACGCGCTTAAGCTCTAGGTGTTATCAATTCAACTACTGTTTTGAAAATGTTAATATTGGCATGAGTGACTTCAATATATGAAACACGATGTTTGAAACATGGACTGATATTAGAGGTGATATTTACAACGTGCGTTTTATGGATTTAATTAACGTGAAAATCATGTCAAGTGGATAAATATTGAAAAGTCAATTTTACAATTTTTTAAAATTTCCCTAGAATTGTTGTATTTTGTGAAGTGTTGTGAGAGGTGATTATTCGGAAAAATGATTTTTCATTTAATGTGAGGCTGCGCGGTCCAGCGGTGACCGGAGAAAGACAGAACATTGGCCTCGACATGCGAGACTGGATAAAAGACTGAGCGCGACCGTCCGGGCTTGCCGATCTATTCTCAAAGAAAAGGTGAATATTTTTTTTCTCCTGAACTCGATACATTCCGCGAGAATGCACCATTTCGAATTTGGGAATGTTGTTTTTGGTAATAAGTTATTGATAAGATTTGATAAGCTGCATGGCGACTACCTTTGTGATCCAATATGGCCGACCGGGACCAGCCATGACGGTCTCGCGGAAGCCATGTTGGCAGGTGTGTGGCTCGCTGCGAGATAACCAGTCTTCTTAGATTCGTGGAGTGGCCACTCATATGATCTCACTAGTATCGTCCATTGTGGGATATAGAATCACTACCGATAGAGGGCACATCCGGACGGGCCACATTTTTGCAAGAAAAAAAAAGATGAAAACCGGAAGTTAATTGAACCCCGATAATGATCGGGGAATTTTTGCTCTCGTTCTTTGTGGCAGCGCAAAACTCATATAAATATCTGGTTAAACGACGGGGTACAAAACTCCGCCATTCGCAAAGTAATGAATATAATTACTCGCATGAAATATGACGGAGTAAAAGCGTGAGAATACATTAGCCATAAAGTGCGGATCGCATGGAAAGACGTAGTAAAAAAAATTAATGAGAATCATATAAAATTTATAGCGGATTATCGCATGCAGCAGAGAGAATTCTCCGAATGAATTAACCATTTCTCGTGATTTTCCAGACGCCGAATAATAATTAAGAATTATCAAAATGCCTACCGATCTTGTGGTGACGTCAGCGTCGGCAACGGAGGAGAGCACAAGGTCCGCTCGAGAATTGTTGACATCGAGATCGTCAACGTCGTCGTGTTCGACAAGCAGCACTGGTCTGTCCTCACCGAGGACCTTTGATCCCTCGACTTTAGCAGCATATCATCACCATCACCATGGATTCGTGGCGGGTCTAGGTCATCCTCACCACCGAGAGTCGTCGGCTTTCGTTCCCGTTGTACCGTCCCGATTGCACCTGGCCCCCTATCCCAGCGAGATGCACGCACACCTGAGCGGCGGCCCTCCCTCATCGTCATCCTCCGCAAATCAGGACCACGAGGGGTCTGAGCCATCCGCAAGGAAAACGACATCCAGCTACGAGATCATGGCGATGATGGCGGATAAGCGTAAAGAGTTGGCTGCAGCCAGGGCCCTACTCCTTCCTCCTCCACCTCTCCTGGAACCACCACCAGGTTATCCAGTATTCACCGGACCCTTTCCAGGCTCTTCCGCGATGTACCCGCCAGGCGGTCCCCTGGCCCACCAACACCTCGACAGAAGACTGCTACGCGCTCCTGGCAGAGCTTCCCGACCCAAGAAGCAATTCATCTGTAAATTCTGCAACCGTCAGTTCACAAAGTCGTACAATCTCCTCATCCACGAGAGAACGCACACGGACGAGCGGCCCTACTCCTGTGACATTTGCGGAAAGGCATTCAGACGACAAGATCATCTCCGGGATCATCGGTAAGTCAGCGCGAGTCATACGCACAGTGATTCCATTTACACCGTACGAATTTGATATGTTGTTAACGTTGACATAAACTCAAAGGAGTTCGATGGATTTCCTTTTACACACTGAGAAAAAAATTTCCCAACAATTAGTGTGCTGTCCCCCAACGCCGGGACATAACATGGGGTCGTCGAAAAATTCATAAGTGGCACCCTAATTTTTGGTGGGACTCCGGCCACTTTTTCGGGGGATTCCCGTAAAAATTAGTGTGCCACATGCGAATTCTCCGATGACTCCCTGTTATGTCCAAGCGTTGGTGAACAGCACACTAATTTTTTGAAGGATTCTCACAAAATTACGATGTATTTTTTTCTCCGTGCATGGGAGATAATAGCCGACTTCTGTCTCGTTTCCAACGAGATTAACTCATCGTGTTTCCACCGACGAGTTACTTCAACTCTACTCGTGTCCAACTCCCCGGTGTAAATAGGCTCAGTGGAGTCTCCCTAACTTCTCTAGCGGGGAGAGCATATTCCCTCACTCTGTGCACCCCAAACGTGTGTGGTAATATGCGTGCATCTCTCTGCGCTTGGCGTGTGCGCAGTAAACAGTCCCTGCTCCCGAACAATTTTCGTACTCCGTGTGTTCCATAACTCTAAAGTGCAAGTCACAGGTCTCAAAGCCAGGGAAAGCAAATAAAAAAAAACCCAAAATCTTATCCATAAAGAAGGGGACGTCTATTCCAGTAATTACTAATCATTTCGATGTCCATATGAGTACCACAAAAAACACTCATTTCCAAGATAGGGGAGGGTGGGGCAAAACGGTCCCCCTTCAATTGTCAATAACTTGTGAATGACATTGTGAAAATTCCCAGTTTCAACTTCATTTTGAAGATAATTTTTCATTCTTCAAAACGAGCTCTAACTCATCCCAATCGGATTATTGAATCGAAAAATATTGACAATTGAAGGGGGGCCGTTTTGCCCTATCCTCCCCTATCTGCATAATCCAAAAGAGCTGATAATAAACTGAGGTTAATTCCTAAATTATTTGGCACGGCGAGAACCATTCAGTAAAAATTACGGAACAATTTACGTAATCCGCAATGGGGAATCGTTTTCCGACCATTTTTATAGGAATTCATGAGAAGAAATCTGAAACGTTCAGTGAATTCTCAGGTTCATCACCGATCAAAATACGAAATTATCACGTAATTTTTCTCGAAGAAGTAAAATCTTACAGAAACTTGCCGACTTATTATGCCTCCAAAATAAAAAATTCTTGAACGTTCAACAATTTTTATGAAGCTGATGAGTTATTTCTACGTTCCGTTCTGTAATTTTTCCCCAATGATTGAGAAATTTTCTCAATAATCAAGAAATTTCCGTAAAATTTCTCAATTATTGGGGAAAAATTACGGAACGACTTGTTGTTCCCACAGCGGTGAGTAATCAGACGAGTGATTAATTTTTACGGAACAAATCCTAGAATTTACGTGACTCACACTTATTATTGAATTTTACTTCGCTCACGGATTACGTTTCGAAATCTAATTTTTACGTTTTTTTCTGGTAATTTTTATTGAATTAATATCTCCCCGTATTGTAATCGCAAATCTTCTCGTGTTACAGATACATCCACAGTAAAGAGAAGCCATTCAAGTGCGGCGAGTGCGGCAAGGGCTTCTGCCAGAGCCGAACCCTAGCCGTACACAAGATCCTTCACATGGAGGAGTCACCCCACAAGTGTCCAGTCTGCTCCAGGAGTTTCAATCAACGTAGCAACTTGAAGACTCATTTGCTCACCCATACCGATCACAAACCCTACGAGTGCACATCGTGCGGAAAGGTCTTCCGGCGGAATTGCGATCTCAGAAGGCATGCGCTCACTCACGCAGTCGGCGACGTACCTCCGGAAGCGTTGGAAGAAGCGTTACGCGATGACGACAGCCCAGAAGAGGATTGCCCCGACCCCGGGCCGTCGACATCCAGCTCCTCATCAATCCCCAGGAACCCTTCCTCCTCCAGTGGCTACCCAGGCTCCTCCTCCCAGAGTCTTCCCTCCCGACCGCAGTTACAAATCCGACGAGACCTCCTCCAGGTGAAACCGGAAACTGTGACGAGTGGTAACGCCATCGCCGGCCCGCAGAATCCAGCTCCGCCGATCCTAGCGCCACCTCCGCCGATCTTAACCTCCTACAGACGTCGATTGGGATCACCAGGACCCTCCAGAATGCTTCTTGAGCTGCAGGAACGGGAGCGCGAGTGCGAGAGGGAGCTGGAGAGACAAAGGGAACGGGAGTGCGAGCGGGAGCTAGAGAGACAACGCGAGAGGGAGAGGATCAAGGGGGAGGAGGAGGCACGACCACCACGAGTGCAAACACCACAACCACCACCACCACCACCACCACCGCCGAGACCAGCGCCTACTAGGCAGGGTTTCACCATTGCCGACATTATGCGTCGGTAAATCATGATGAAGTACATCGGACAATAATGGAATTGTACGTGGAGTGACTTTCCATCGTAAATTCAGTCCTCCAAATGGATACGTAATAATGACGATTTAGAGGATAATGGGCGGGACCGCTGACCAGTCATCCATCATCTTGGGCCAGCAGGATGCATCCATTATTGGAAAGCGAGATGGGACTCTTTGTTGAGGTGCTTTCGTCGAAAATTACGGAAATTTTTTACGTCGTACAGTCATTTTGGGGTATTTTGTGACTTATGAATTGAGATTGATGTGTCCGGTGAAAATGAGTGAGTGTTAACATTTTGACTTGCCCAACAAGTGCAATTATTAATAACTTTAGTAAACCAGTGATATATTATAGAGAGGATTTTTTTATGCTGTATTTCTAAGAGGTACTTCTTAGTGATAGTGGGTGTGAACAACCTGACACAGCTCATTAATGAAATTAGTGCCAATTTTCAAGGTTCAAGGTTTGTTCCCGAAATCACGTGTGTTCCGCTTGTTTCCGAAATTGAGAATATTTTCTGGTGGACACAAAGAAAAATGAAAGATAAACATGAGTAAACGAGTGAAGTGGAAAAGAAAAGAATAGAATGGAGGCAATAATGAGGACTGGAAAAGGGCATTGGTTGGGCTGCCGTAAACAGTGGCAGGTGCGGCCGAGGGAGAGTGTAGGGCCCACAGATACATTTTGTATAAGGTGGAATGCTTTTGTTATCTCTCTCTCTACCTGGAATAGCTCTCCGAGCCTTTTTAAAATCCATTGTCTATAAATCAGCCTAGCCGATACATTTTCCACTTGAGTGACTTTTCTGAGATTGAGAAAAATAAACGCATTTTACGTACAAAACGATTCATTCATTACGGATGACAGGAAATGTTTCTTGCTATCTACACAATAAATAGTCTCAACTAAGTATTTCAACTTTTCTGCTGTGCGTTTTACTTTTTGAAGAGAGTCATCTGAGATTACCGATCGTAAAAAAATGATAGCGAAATGTCCGTGAAATAAGTTCAAATATCTCAAATAATTTAGGTTAACAACTACAATAAAATCAAAATATTTTTGTGAAAAGATTGATCGTGTATATATGTTACAACTAGAGATAAGAAACTATTTGGGTTAAAGAACAAAAAGAAAATTTCGCTAAATGAAATCGTATTACTTATATGTGATAATTTGATTCATGTTTGTCTGTTTCTTTATTATTCATTGTTTTGTCGTTCGATTTTAAGATCGAATATCGAGGACAAAGAACTGTTAAAAATTTTATTATATAGTATTGAAAATTTATATAACACGAGAAAAAAGTATCGAAATTATTTAACATGATTTCCGGTACAATTTGCAGTGTTTTGAGAAGAAAAGACGTTTTCGTTTTGATTACTGTTATGAATTTTCTACGATATTGAGTGCCTAAACCTATCTGTAAGCATCACTACTTTTATTTAGGATTACGAGATTTTTTAAGGTGAATGAACAATCACAGAAAAAATGTAAATTATTATAAGAAACTTGGAATACGAAATAAAGTACTATGAAATATCAATATCATCAATATTCATTTCATACTCTTGAACAGTTCCTCTTTGATTGAATGAAGATTACTTAAAGCTGCGTCTTCTAACAAAAAAATTACGTTTTGAAGAATTCTTCGGATAATATTATATACGGGATCAGCCGCGCGTGCTGCGCACGCGCCTTCTCATCTCCTCACTTAGGGGCGCTTCGGTGTCAGTCTTACGCTTACGCTTATTCGAGATTTTCGAGATATTTCGAGATCGATTTCCTTTCTCCTTTTTACGATAGGATAGGATACTTTTGAGTTCTGAATAGCTCGTCGCTTAAATAGTTGGAATCAACGTTCACCCGGCTAAAAAATTCGATTTTGGCGAAAGTCGACTTTCCCCCTGGAAAAACGGAAAATCTGACCCTTTGAAAATCTGGAAAAAAAAACTTTTCCAGTTTTCACTTTTTCCACACACTTTTCCGGGTTTTGAATAGCCCGTCGCTTAAATAGTTGGAATCAACGTTCACCCGGCTAAAAAATTCGATTTTGGATTGTCTAGGAGGACAATGGGGTCTAGGAGTATGTATAGAACATTGGCGTCTAGGAGTCTCCCCTGGTTCAAAACCATCTTTAGAGGTCCTAGCACGCCATTTCTCGACCCGCTCTTTCG